AAAAAAAAATTATAAATTATATCAATTCTCATTTATATTACAAACGATAAAATTATTAGAGTAATCTAATTTATCCATATCACAAGTGTATTACTGTAAGTGTCTGGACTTCAGTGCTTACATCGCCACAGAAACTAAAATTATTATTAATTCTTCACAAATTATAAAGATAATCATTGAGAACTCGAAGCTTCACCCGCACCTGTTTCCAAAAAAATCCCATGACAATGTTCCATGAAGTCACCATATGCGCGAATAGAGTTTGGGCAAAATTCTCGACGAGCTAAAAACAATAAATTATGTTAATCTTTTTTGCTGTAATGAAAACCTTCATAGATTCTTTGCCACATGCCAAAAAGGCAAGCGAAATATCAAAGTAAAACCAAGAAAATCCCCTTTCAATTAAATTGCCAGGTCATCTACTCACACTCACTCTTTCATTATCCTCCTTCTGATTTCGATTTCCAAATTTTGGGGCAGATTGTCGGTGGAGGCTTTTGGACTCCCTCCCACATCAAGGATAATAATAAATATGAATGGAGTAAAATAAATTTGATTCACGATTTTAAAAATAAGTCTAACTCCACGCAGTCCCCTTTGCATGTACCCTCTCCAATACACATTGCATATTAATACATTAAGACATTAATAATGCTTCAAATAGGCTTTTATTATTTCCAGTTCCTGTAGCGGGATAGAGCATTAAAGCATCAATACAACATCAAAAAAGCTTATATCATTTCTAATACCCTTAGCATATTAATACATTAAAACATCAATAATGCATCTAAAAGGCTTTTATAATTTTCAATTCCCGAAGCGGGTTAGAACATTAAAACATCAATACAACATAAAAAAAGCTTATATCATTTCCAATACCCTTAGCATGTTAATGCATTAAAACATCAACAATGCATCCAAAATGCTTATATTATTCAAAATTCCCGCAGCGGGTTATTATATTAAAAATTCTATATGCAACAAAAAGTCTAAAATCACTTTAAATTTCCGAAGCGAATTAGTACAATAAAACATCAAAAAGGCTTATATCATTTCTCGTACCTGGTTAGTACATTAAAACATTAATACAACATCAAAAGGCTTATGAGTCAAAATTTTAATAGTGGAAGCACCCAAAATTTGATATCATAATTTTTACATTTTTTTATTGTTTTTCAAAAAGTATATAATATACAAAACAATAGCCCAAAACTATTTTTTTTAATTTAATTTATTTTACAAGATATTGACAATTAAATTTCAAAGCTCTTTTTAATTAAAAAATAAATATCTAAGGGAAGAATGAATGGATCTTAAAAAAATGTATCTCATTTTACGTTACGTAGTTTTTGATAAAATAATTATAATAAAACAAATGTTTAATAAAACAAATGTTCTCAATTCTAATTATAATAAAACAAATGTTCTTAAAGTTATCATTTTTAGTTAATGAGGTACTGTATCATTTAAAAGTTTGCAAAAATATGAAACGAAAACATTGAAATAATGATTTAATAATCTATTACAAATTAAAAACTTCTCAAAATTATGATTTTTATCTGTCGACAACTGAATCGTTCTTCAGTTAAAAGAAAAGAAAAAACAAGAATCTACGAGAAGAAAGTGAAATTTAAAATTATTTAAAGATTTAACATCATTGAAAGTTTATTATGAACAAACATTTTATATCAACTCGATAGAAATATAGACGTAATTTTTTCCTCATTTTAAGAAGGAGGAAGAGCATTACTATAATTATTTACTTTTTTTTTAATCTATTAAATTCTTTTTTTAATATGTTTTCAAATATTATCTAAAAATATTCAAACTTTTTGTGTGGTGGACACCTTTGAGAATAGGTTGCTTGCAAAAGACATGGGAAACTCAATTGCATTATGTTTGAAGAACTCAATGTTACTTTTGTTATATCGTTAAGAAGAAGAAATTCTAAACACAGTTTTAAGGGAATCAGACTGAAAGATTATATTATAATAACTATTACATAGAAAAGTAGTGGAAATCGTACTTTTATTCACATTCTAATGTTTACCGTTCACAAATAATTAGCAATTATTTATCATAAAATACAGCCACTCATATTATTTTTTTGATTATAGTGCTTGAACACTAAGTACTGGAAATTATTTTTTTTGCAAGGTTTGAAAATGTTACGATTTGGGATACTGATCATCGAATTAATTTCAGCTGCTTCATAAACTTCGCGAAAATCAAAACTATTGAGTATTTATGATTAAGTTAATGACTAGAACATGTTTAACCAAAATCAGTTATTTAATAATACGAAATGTGATATGAAATTTGTGAATTATTACAAGCATAGTAAGAACATTTTAAATCTGAAAAATGCTAATAGAATATGTTATAAAATTCAAGCGTTATAAAGTTCAACGTGTTTGTAGTGCAACGCTTGAACTTTACGCGTGCTATAAAGTTCAGGTGTGTCCTTTTAAGTGTTGTTTCTTATATCTGCATCATTTCGAGTTGTATAAAACAACATTTTTTCTTGGGTTTTAGAAATGTAGAAATTTTTTCGATAGAAGCTTTTGACATAGGTACTGGAACAGATGGAACTATCTAATTCCATTACTTCAATAATTACTAGATCATTGCTCGTCTAATCACACAAAAAGCTCAACACTTGTTTTAATCACGATGTTTTTATAATCACGATTTCCATCCTGGATGTAAGGAACATAAATGTTATAAGTATTTGAATGTACTGAAATAGTTTTGTTTTTCCCCAATTGATTCAACTATAAATTGAGATTTTCAGCTTTCAAAAAGTTAGTTTAATTAAAGCCAGAACAGTCAAATTTTTTTAAGCACTGTTCTCAATTATGGTAGTAATCTTATAATCTTCCCTGACATGATGAGAAATTAGGTATTGGGTGCAAGTCAGCTATCTCAGCCATTTTTCGACAGCTTGGGTGCAGTACAGTTTAATTGGCCTAAACACGGACCTGTTCAGTAGTAGGAGTTCATATGTTTTCTATATCCTACTTACTTCACGGTACGATTTAAATTTGCAAACGAAAAGGGTAAGGTTCGGACAGAAGCAAAGTGCCATTTCAGGCTTCTAGCAATAGTTAGCTAGTGACGCAACAAGAAGTATATAGAATATTGAATTGCTTAACATTTATGTATGATTTACTTAATATTCTGTACGTTACTTTTGTTGTGGTTTATCCATATAAAAAAAATTTGAACATCCAGAGAATGTTTAAAATTCACAAGGAAAATTTATGAAACGGATTGTCTTAAATAAAAATTTGACGCAAGTAAAAAGTGACTTTATTTTTCTGTATGGATCATTGGGTTAAAAAAACTCCTTAAGTTATCCACTAGAAAAATATAAAAACAATATTTACTTAATAATCAGCGAAGGTACGATTTTGGAAAGTTGCAATTTAAATCTATTATATATAATTCTCTTACGTGGCTCCCAAATTTTGGCTGTATTTCTTTTCCGTCGGTGGCAGTGTTTGCTTTGTTTTGAAAACACCAAATCATTCTGCCTTTTAATGATGTGTTTCTGATCTAATATATATAATTCTCTTACGTGGATAAGTAAAGATGTAAATTGCAATGACCATATCATTAAAATCATTACTAAA